GCAGGTGTGTTATCAGCAGGGTTTAGGGGATCACAGGGTCCACTATACAGCCAGGAAATTAGACAGAAGCCTTAGATCCAAGAAAAGCATCTATATACACATTTATACATGCATTTACTTCCTTCATATAATCAACACTGAAAAGAGACTCCATGAGAAATGTACTTAATAACAGTAATTAAAGGTGCGTTTGTGTGTATGTGTATATGTGTGTGTGTGTGTGTGTGTGAGTGAGTACATGCTTTAATTAGTGTTTGTATACTTTACTAATTCCAATGTACATAACTAGAGCTTAAAATCGTATTTAGCTGTGAAAATCAATGTTGAATTGGAAGATGGGAAAAATGGATTTGAAATATGGGTTTGTCATAAATTACTTGTGAAAGTATTCGCTGCTCATTACCATGTCTGGTATTAATCATTACAAAACTTATATTTCATCTTAATGGGCAGAAAATGTATCTATCAACTCGCTGAGTTGATCAAAGGATTGTGCATTGGAGTCCCTCCACTTATATATGGTGGAGTTTGTAAGTTTAGAATAGTGAATGTAACCTTGTAATTACTTGTAGATTAGAAGCAAATTATAAAAGAACAAAAAAAAAAAGAAAAGAAAGGAAAGAAGCGAATAATAATTGGAGTAATTTAACACCCAGCAGCTCCACAGTGTTACAGGAAGCTGATAGAAGCAGCGTTCACTCAGAATGCTCTTTTCTGTCAGAGACCACACACACACACACACACACACATGCACACACTCACACAAACACACGCACACAAAAAGAACCTAGTGGAATACTTTGGAAAATGTGCATGTGCAGTAAAAAATAACAATCAAGCATGCAAGTTGCTTGTGCTATATTGAGTATCTTTCTATTAAATGCTGTAAATGAGTCAGTTTGTTCCATTTTTCTTCCTTTTGAGGAAGTGATTTATATTAGAGCACTCTTATGTTTTATGATAACATTTTTTTAATTTGTTTGCAAATTATTCTGAGCCATTCTGAGTGATGAGTGATTCCGGGCTCATCGTTTGCATTCAACCGCTGCTTAAGAGGTGATTCTTTACAGAGGACCCCAGCCAGTATACATATCCTTTCAATTACAGTGACGGCATCATTTACATACTCGCACATCACACACACAGCGACACACACACATACACACACACACACACACAGCGACACACACTCTCAGTGCAGACCAAGGCAGGACAAACACACAGTAAATCAAATCGCAGGCACGATCTTTCAGACGCACAAAAGAACAAACAAGCAATCCCACATCACCACACACAGGCGCATGGACTCACACAAACACACCAAATTTTAATTTACGCCTTACTGAGAGAAACACACACAGACTTTATGAAGTGTTGCTAGTATGAAAAGCACATCCAAACACCAGCCATCATTTCATATGTACGAAAACAAACACACAATCGCATAATGACTGTTTGCCCAACGTCCACTTCAAAGTTACAGACACTGTGTGTGTAGAGGATTTAAAACAGAGTCTCAGCTATTTACTAAATGTTTGTTTTTACTTCAGCCTCATTTTGGTGGAACTGCAATGGAGTTGTTAGCTGGTCTGAAACCAGACTTGAAAGCTGTTTTTACTGGCGTTTCCACTAAGTTCAGGGTTTTGCCAAAAACTTTAGCTGAGAGAGACATAGCAAAGACACAGGCAGATAATAATTAAGTGATATCACAATCCTTTATTGAAGCTGAGGTTAGCCAACGTTGATGTGTGCTGGCAGTTATGAGCCAGAGGAATGCCACGGGCTGTTCTGTTGCTATTACATGTTTATGGGCGATGACGTGATGGTAACAGGACAGTGAACTCATCTGGGCCACACTCACACACACACACACACACACACACACACACACACACACAATGCCCACTGACAACACTACTGTTGGCAGGACCGCTTCGATTTCCGACTTTGTTGTTTTGTACGTGAAGTTTGGTGCAGAAGACTGATTACAGAAAATATTTGCTTTACAATCATTTCTCTTTGTCTTTTCTCTCGTCTCCAGGAAGAAGAAGCAAAAATGTCAGAGAGGAGAGTTCAGAAGAAGTCCATCTTTCTGTCCTCATTGTTGGTAAGTCTTTGACTTTGTTTCATCTTAATTTTCCCTAATCCTCCTCCTTTAATTCTATTTAATTCATTTACCCGTGTCTTTCTTCAGTTCTAATCTCAAACCAATTTCATATTACCTTTAACTATATTTTCATTAATTCATCACTTTCCCCTCCGTGGTCCTTCCTCTTTCCTCCTCCTTTTCTCAGCTTTCACTCGTCTCTTCCTGTCTATCTGTTATGCCTCTGCTTCACATCCTTTTTCTTCTCCTTGCACTCTTTCAAAATACTGTCAGGCAGCAGCATAACGCCGAAGCATCATCGTATTTCTGGTGTCCTCAGAAACTCGTGTTAGCCCATCGGTATGGATCGCAGCCACAATCCACTCCACACTTGGCACTGCGTCATGCAGACACTCATTGTTATGTGCCAGCTGCTTGCACAACATTGCAGCACTTGTACCAATTAGTTATACTGAGAGCAGATATCTTTATAATCTGACTGGGAATCTCGAGATTCTCTGCCTGTTTTGATGTTGAAACCCACTGGCAGAGTTCCCGACAGGCTCCTCCACCTTGCCCTCCCTCTCTCCTGTTCTCTGTTCTATTCTCGTCAGTCACTGTGAGCACATGCAGGCTGACACTGGAGCACTTCGTCAACGAGGAGGAGACATTTAGGACGGTGTCAATTTACTACGCCACCGAATAGTGGCATCAGAAATGTATTACTACACATTTTAAAATCACTTACTATATATATATATATAGAGACTACACCTTTGAGGAATATGTAGAACGATGAGAAATGACTGACAAAGACAAGTGTGCTGGTGGTGTCATATTGCACAATAGCACACACAGAGACGACGCGCTAGAGTTATCGATGTGTCAAAGGACGATGCGCTTCAGTCAGTGGTGGAGACTATTTCTACTCCATTAGCTTTTAGAGGGAAATATTGTCCTTTTGTCTGCACTACATGTATCTACAGTCAGTACTTTACAAACTAAGACTTAACATACAAAACAAAAGAGGACTTTTAAAATATGATGCATAAAATATGTACCAACAAATATCTAACCACCAACAGTATATACAATTTGGGCTGAGCTGATTAACTAACAGTCAGATATCAATAAATTAATTAACGTGCTTTTGATAACTAATGTCACTTTGAACACGACATTTCTCTCTATTTTCTTATGTTTGAGAAACCACACAACTGATGAATCAATCAAGAAATAATCTGCAGATTAATCTATATTAAACATAATCTTTGCTGGCAGCCAATCCACCTCAAACAACTTCAGTAAAATTCTGCTGACAGATTAATACATGAGTAATAACAGTCTAATTATATGATAGTATAACACTCAGAGTGGCTTTTTCTGTATTGAGTTATTTTACTTTTGATACTTTCAGTACATTTTTACCTAACCCTAACCCTTTCAAATAATACTTCACATACTTTTATATTTAGCGTGTGCAGTACAAAGTGTGGTGTTAGTACTTTTACTTATGTAAAGGATCTGGATACTTCCTCCACCACTGGTTTTGGTAAACACTCCGTGTAGTTTACAATTCAACAGCATTCCTGCCAAATTGTAGTTGTGTGAGGAATAACAATGAGGACCCGCTGGATCCTCTGTGATGAATGTGCAGAGATGAACGCTCCAATGTTTGAAAGACCTGACTAAATATCCTCCCAAAGCATTGTGGGATAGCTTGTTGCCCTGCAGAGAATATTGTGGGAAGTTGTCTTCCTTCCAGCTGTGGAACGATGTGCAGAAGAAGATCATTACTGCCGTTTCCGTTTCTTCAGAGCCAAACAAAGTGCTGCTCCGTGCGCAGTTGCACAAATTGCCAGAGAAAGAACAATGCACACAATGCTTGCAAAAACACCCACAGTGACCCATAAATGTGCGACACACTGATAAAGGTGATTGGCGGATGATGTCGTACAACTGTTTTTGCTTTCAGCGTGCCGATTTGCACTAACTGTACATCAGGTGTGTGAGGTAAAGGTCAGTTTGTTTTAAATCTGGTACAAATTACAAACCGATAACTTGGCCACAGAGGAATGTGCTCCATCCTGTGATACACAAACACATAGGCAGCGTGCAGTTGTATATTTACTCAAACAGCGTCTTGTGTCCGCTGTCATGAGATCATTATGAGGAAGAGAGAAAAGAGGGAGATGTTATTGAAACAACAGAGAGAAGACGGAGGGAGTTAGTCATGCACACATTTTCTTTGCGATCATTTTCTGGACTGCAGATGATTTTTTAAAAGTCAGTTAGTTTGTTTGGAAAAGAACAAAGTGTGCTGGTAAAACTATAAATACCAGCTGCTACTTATTACAGTGAACCACAATGACACAATGACACACACACACACAATGTACCCATACAGTACATAGACACACACGCAAACACTGGTATTGTGCAAACTCTCTCACACTCACACACAGTCAACAATGATCTCCACTAATCTGAGTAACAAAGATGAAGAAGTCTGGAAATTTGGCGTTTGTTGCTTTTTGACAATTAAAATGTTGATGTTGATTCTTTTCCAGTTGGTTTCACTATTTAAATCAGCCATCATCTACTGCAGGCATTTATCTCGGCTGCTGTTGCACTGTGAATCGTTTTGGTCCAACTTGCTGTATTTAAATCCCTTAGCAGAGGTATGCCCAATTACAAAAATGGAGGTACAAACATTTTTTTCTACAGTTTATTTGAAGGTTTTTTTATTAAGAGGATTAATGATTGTTGGTATCTGCATTGTTGATCTGTTGGTCAGACAAGTAAGCATTATCTCAGGCATTACTGAGAACTTGTGTTTGGTGTTTGTCTTTTTTGACATCCTTAAGACAAATTACTGAATCAAATACCATGTATCAAATACATAGTCTACAGATTAATAAAAGTCAGCTGAGAAGTCATTGAAATGGTTAAAAAAAACAACTAATAAACAATAGTTCAAAATCCTTGTTAATAAAAGACTCTGTATAGAACCACATTTTTCAAAATTCAAATAAAAGTCTTGAATGTATTTATCTGTATATATGTTTGATATAGTTTTGACAACATAAATACTTAGTTCAATATAGTTCACAAATGGAGACTTACAACCCTCAGTTCCATTATTCCATGGAGCTAGAAGCATGTGTGTTTTAATACATGCAAAATGTTGTTCATATGTCATGCAAGAGTCTCACTTTCCCCGTCTGTCTTTCTCTCTGGCCTCCCCCTGTCTGTCCTCCCCTCTGTCCCTCCAGTTGTGTTGTATGTTTGCTAGTGCGGAGTATTCCAGCTGTGGAGAGTACGAATTCTTCAATCAGACCAGTAACAGTTGCCAGGCCTGCCCTCAGTGTCAACCAGGACAAGAGCCGCATATGGTGAGAGAGAGAGAGAGAGAGAGAGAGATGCACACACACACACACACACACACACACACACACACACACACACACACATGCATGACAACCATTGGTTTGTCTCTATAATTAAGTGTTTTTTTCATGCACCTATACTTTTTTAAGTACATATTAGAATCAGCCGCAGCAATAAATTGGGAGCGGGATAAAGCTGCCATTTCAAATTGTAACCATACAAAATTGATAAATAGTGTGACAGCTGACTTTGTGAACCTTTGCGTCATTTTTGTTCAGACCACCCACGATACACACACACACACACACACACACACACAGAAGCGCACACATAGCTGCACAGTGAAGAGTGCCTAAATTGAAGTGAACAATTTCTCATGGTTTATTGCTCTCGCTGACTTCGATGTGAAGGCATGCATTACAGTGAATGACTTGCAGTAGTCACATAGCGCTTCAGCCTCCGTCAGTCAGTCTGCCGACGGCCAAAGAAAACAGAGAGCAGGTTAACGCTTCAGTTGGCACTCCGGGATGCCACACCTTCTTAAGAGAGGCGGCGGCACTCAAGGCTGAACAAGATGAGTTATAGTCTCTGTCATTTATTTGGGTGCAGCAGTATTCTCAGATTTTCTTATCTATATTACCTCAAGATGCTGCTGAATGACAAATTAAGGGATCATCAACGGTATTACAGTTCATCCTTACGGAGACACGGCCATCTGTGAATTTCATGGCAATGAAAGAAGTTTAATCAGCGAGATGAGAGTCCACTTTGCACTCTCTCCTGCCTGTCTGATCCTCTGGGTGTCTGTAATTCATGTTTTATTTTGTTCCCCTCAGCTTTATGTGCATCTGTGTGTGTGTGTTTCTTGACACCCTTTTAATCATGGGATAACCACAGGGTTCATCCTCACAACAGAGACTTCAGAAAGTACACACTTACACACACAGACATCACACAAGACATCCAAGGAGGCTTTTAAAGGGCATCTTGTATCCAGATTGTATGTGATGTAGCTGGATTACATTTCCATCTTAGTTTACATGAAGATACACAGTGGAAAGAAACTTATATTTCCTTAACTTTTAGTGAGTGATGAAAGGCATGGTGACGTGAGGACTCAGAATTTGGCATTGCAGTTTCGAGTCAGCTTGCATAGTGTGTGAAATCTCCCTGGGGGGACCTTATGGCCTGGTGGCTTTAAGATTCGTAACATGCAGCGGCTCAAATTTGCCCGGGACTTTTGTTGCATTTCATCACCATCATTTCCCTTCTTTACCATCCCTGTCAACTTTCAAAATAAAGGCAAACAAAGCCAAAATATTCCCTGATTGTTGTCAATTCTAGTTGTTTTTTTTACCTCCCTTATACTAGCTTTGAAAGGAAATAACCTTTCAATCAGAGTGGCTTGTAGAGAACAAACAGAAGCTGAACCATGGCGATCCTGTGTCATAAAAAAGATCCAAAGCGAGTTTAACCAAAAGCGACTAGATCCTGCCAATAGCTCAGCAAAGTTTAATATCAAACAGTCACGCTGAGACCTACGGACGTCAAGCAGAAGGGAAGGAATATTAGATTTCTCTGAGAGTCAGTCTGCTGTACCCCAAAGCTAAGAGGCATAGGCTTGTTTGAATAGACGGATGAAAGTAAGAGGGAAACGAAAGATGAAAGAGAGGGAGCAAAACACAGAGTATGTTTTTGTGTGTGTGTGTGTGTGTGT